TTCTAGAAAAAGTATTAGTAAAAATCTAACTCCAATAAGGGGCCACTTTGTGTGAAAAGTATCTGGAATATTGAAGGTGGAAACATTATACAAAGTGGCCCCTTATTGGAGTTAGATTTTTACTAATACTTTTTCTAGAAATTCGTCTACTGTTCGTCTAGAAATTCTATAATAGCCGGAGTTTTAAATATCGGGCTTTGAACGATATTTAATGTTGCGACCGACTTTTTTATTAAAAGCAATCATGTTTGTTTCTCGCCTTTCAGACAACAAAACCAGCTCGACAATATTTTGCTTATCAGGAGATTCTTACAACATTAACAACATGAGATATAAAGTGTCAGATTTCAATGAGTGCAAATCGTTAATAACTGGAAACACAATAAATCTTAATAAGAAATGTGCTGATCAAGGAAGTATGATAACTATTGGATTTCAGTTAACTGAAGGTCGAGGTTTCATTACATTAATCGAAATTTGTTACAACAAGAAAAGAAGTTCGTCCATTTATGCCAAGCATATAGTTCAAGGAAAAATCATTAAAAATAAAATGATTACAAACACTCGTCCATCATTGTTTAAGAAAACGGAAGTTCCAACCAAAGTTAATCCACAAAAATCTTTTACAAAATCAAATCAACTGAAAAGATTTCAACAAATTTTCGGTGACCTTGAAACAGCGCAAGAATTCATAAATAAAACTTATTTAGCTCGAGGTCATCTTGCTCCTGATGCTGATTTCATTTTTGCTTCGTGGCAGTCTTCTACTTATTATTACATTAATACTGTGCCACAATGGCAATCAATCAATAATGGGAATTGGAAACACATTGAAAGTGCCATCAGATCCAAAGCAAATCAACTCAAGGCTGACCTAGAAATTTATACTGGAGGATTTGATGTGTTGAAGTTGAAGAACAAAAAGATTTCAATGGAAAATGATGGACTTGACGTTCCAAAGTGGTCATGGAAAATTGTTAAGCTTCCATTTGAAAATTTAGGAATAGCTTTCTTGACACTCAACAACCCATTTGCATTGTCATCGCCCAATGCTTTATGTCAAGATGTTTGTAATGAATCAGGATGGAACTGGAAAGAGAGAAAATCGATATCAAAAGGTTGGACGATATGTTGCCGAGTGTCAGATCTGATGAGAGTTATACTCGATGTACCTGAAGAAGCTTGGTCAGAAAATATTTTAAGATACAATAATTAATAAAGAAAACTTTATTAAAAGTTAAAAATTTTAATATTGATGAATATTAATAAAATAATTAAAGTTTCGCTTTAAAGAAGTTTGGATCAGTCAACATTTCAGAAGGGAAATCATCTTGCATCATGGGATGTGCTTTTCTAAATGCTGGATGACTATGCAAATGTCTATCAATGCGAAGAATGATTGGATAAGATTTTAAATCAACATGAAAACTGTGTGTACAAAAGTTAATTAAAATAATAAAGTTTTATAAGAAATGAAAACTTTACCGTCTTGCATTAAAGACTTGTGGAATTAAACAACAATCTGCTAATGTTATTTCATCTCCCACGCAATATTTTCCAGAAGTTTCTCTCAAAACTTTCTCTACAGCATCAAAACCTTTAATAATCCAATGTTGTGACCATTTCTTTTCCTTTTCACCAAGATAATCTCCAATGTAATTGAGTACGCCAGTATTTTGTAATGGTTGAATGCCAGAGACGATCATATCACAAATTGCTCTGACTTGAGCTCGTTTTAAGGGATTATTTGGAAGAAGAGGATTGTGTGGGCGTGTTTCTTCAATGTATTGCATGATCGCCATCGATTCAAACAAAGTATGTCCGTCAATTTCTAATGCTGGTACAAATTTCGTTGGACTTGGAAGTTGAACTTCAGCATTATTAAGAGATGATAATTTAATCAAGTCGACAGGCTTTATTCTATAATTCAAGCTTTTTAAATTTAAATAAATACGAACTCGATAGGAGCAACTTGATCTCCATGATGAATACAGTGAAATATTAGAAGCAAATTTTATTGATTGTAGTTGTTCGGTCATGATGTAGACTGGAAACGTAAAACCATGATTAGTTATACTTACTTCAACCATGATAAACTAATAGCAGAAATTTTAAAGTTAAAAATATAATGATGTTCAGCTATTTATTGACAATCTATTAATATTACTAATTTAAATATCCTCAATTAATTTTATAATTGTTTACCTCACAAAATAATTAATTTTTTACTCCCAATAAATGATAAAATAAAAGTTCTCTGATAGAATTGCTTTATATAAGGCGATGCAATTGGCGATGTGAAGCAAAACAAATAAAAAATTCTTATCAATCATTTAGCAGTGCCATCTGTTGTTAAAGAAGAAAAGTTACCTGTTGGTAATTTTTTAAATCTAAACTTCCCAGTATTTTTTTTGAATTCCAATTTTCAATGAAACATTAATATTTATTACACGAGATTCACAGCCAAGAACATTAATTTATATTGCCACTCTATACCATCGTTATTTATTTGTTTCTTTTAAAAGCTTTGATTTGTAAATGATTTACGATAGAAATTTACCGTACGAAACTAAACAACTTCTAGGTAGTATATAATTTTTATTGTCTAGTCTAATTGATTTCTTACTTCCAAGATGCAGTATCAATGATCCAATAAAATTATGTTTAACTTTAACTATACATTGTTTTATTACATAGATAACACTTGTGAAGTATTCGTATTCTGTAATAAACTTTGTAATAATGAAACATTTGAAATGTTCAATTAAAGGCAAATTAAAATTTGAAGTGTTTGAACTTAATTTTAATTTGTGTGGATTTTTGACTGTTTTGGTGACGACTTTGATTGCAGTTTGACTATCAAATTGAAAGGACGTAAATTTCGTGGAGTAATCAAAATGAGTTTTCTTCCTGAATCTTTTTTCTTTTTAATTAGTTTTCTCTTTTTTGTTTCGGGTAAGGTTTGAAAGATTATGAATTTAGGATTTTATTTTTTTAAAACTAAAGTTGAAATTTTATTTTTCCTTTAAAGTATCTTCATCACCTCGTCAGGACAGTAAGATATTTAACATCGATTTGACTAGGTAAAATGATTAAATTTAATTAGTAATTTGTCCATTTAGAATGCGTTGAAGGCTGCATTGTCGATGGAGTATTCTATGAAAGTGGCTCGGACATACCAAAGTCCAATCCTTGTGATATTTGCCAATGTTTCGGAACTGAAGTGTCTTGTGCTGAAATTGATTGTCCTTTTTTTAACAATCATAATCCACCTTGTGAACCAATTTACAGCCCAGACGAATGTTGCCCAGTTAATACATGTGGATGTGAAGAAGCCGGCATTTACTATTTAAGTGGTGAAAAAATGCCAAGTGATTACCGATGTCAAAATTGTACTTGCATTGAAACAGAAAAAGTCTGCGTTTTCCTACGTTGCTAGGAACCATGACTTGTATGACAGCTTTAAGATTTAAATTTACTGATTTACATTTCAGATTAAAATCAATAAAATTGTGTCGATTTAAGTGAACTTTTTTATTCTATAACTTTTAAATTTCAAATTTATAAAATCTGTATCTTGAATAACGTGATGAAGTATTTGAATTTTTCGTGCGACTCAAATTTATTAGAATTTCATGCACTTTGTCTAATTTAATTCGACCAACAAAATATTTAAAAGGAAATATTTTTCATAATGAAAGGTTTCATTGCAGTTTGAATTTGATTTCGATAGGACGAAACATCGTGAAGTAATGAAAATGAAGTTTATTTCCAGAGCTTTGTTCTTTTCAATAAGTTTAATTTATTTTGTCCCTGGTGAGGATTGAAATATGATTGAAATTTAAAAAGTAAGAATTTTCTTTTTCCTTAGTATCTTCAACACCTTCACACTCATCTTCAAGACGTGGTGATAAAGGACGTAAGACAATAATTTGATATAGATAATTATTTTAATTAAAATGATTAATTTGGAGAATTTATCTAGAATGCGTTGAAGGCTGCATGGTCGATGGAGTAATTTACAAAAGTGGATCGGGTATTCCAAAATCCAATCCTTGTGAGTTATGTTGGTGTGAAGGAACTGTTGTGATTTGTGGTCATTATGATTGTGCTCACAATATGCTGGATAATATTCCTGACTATTGTGGACTATTCTATATCCCAGGTCAATGTTGTCCCATAATTGATTGCGATTGTGTTGTAGATGGTATTATTAATGGTGAAGATTATCCAATTGAAGACCCATGTCAAAGTTGTACATGCGTTGGAACAGAAAAAGTCTGCATTGACAAACCTTGCTAGGAATCATGAATTACACTTGCTTCTTTCTTTCAGAATTTTAACTGCTTTAAAACTGAAATTATGAATAAATTTTCTTTTTCTTTTATTATTTAAATAATTATTATATTAAAAA